GAAAGGAAGCAGCCAACCCCGCTTTATATCTTAAGGGCATACACTTTATGTATATATAATAAATATACCCCTCCCCATTTGCGGGGCACTTCTTTCCCTTTTGGATCGAGCACGTGATTTATTTTACTGTGGCATCGTAGAGAAATAATATAGTTTCCTTTAATGTCAGTTGCCCAAGATCACAGAAAAGCATACACGCCGTGACGCGCATATTAACCGTGTACATAACATTATATATATAAATATGCGATTATTCAAACGTACGACCAACCGCACTTTAATTGGAAGCCCACCCTCGGCATAGATAAAAAAAAAAAAAAATTGTTTTTATTTGACTTGATTCTTTTAAATTCTTTTTTACCTCCAAATTGTTAACTATAATGTAGAGTTGTACAAGAGGAAGAAAAAAAAAACTATAACAGGGAAAACAATTCCGCTTCCTTCATTTTACCCACTTTTGGAGAGAATCCCCCTTTTTAGCCCAAATAAAATTTTCGCCTCCTTCCAAAATGAAGTTTAACAAGCGTAAGTTTGGAAATATTTAGGTAGAGAGCCCTACACGTTTAGGGCTGCTCCCGCCATGCATCCGTCACAGCGCTTGGAGGGGCCACTTCCCCAACTTGCGCGATATGAGATCATTGTGTACGCGTGATTCTGCGATGTACTTATGTCGATATGAACGTTGGCACGCGACTCGGGGGAGCAGCTTCCCAGAACGACGGCCAACATGCGTATCGCCATTTTCCCCCTGAGAAGTTACCCAAACATACATGTACTTTCGTGCATACATGTGTGATTGTTTTATACACCGCTTTGCAAGTGGACCCTCGCCCTCTCTCGTGTGACTACCTATTGCCGCACCGTGTCAGGTGTTGCCGACCTTGTCATCTATGCGCACCCGCCTTACGCTCCTAACGCGTCCCTTCCTCCCCCCCTCCGTTAGGAATATCCTCCTCCCGAAGGAAAATGAGAAAGGCGCATTTCACGGCGCCAGCTGGACTTAGAAGGAAAATTATGTCCTCCAAACTGTCAAAGGAGTTGAGATTAAAATATAAGGTAAGAGACCGAGGCCTCCTTTTAGCCGCCTGAAAAATTGTTTGCCTGCGATTATATCGATAAGGGACGACGCGCGTTGGTCCTGACGCCCTAGCATCACGTATAGTCATGTATTTTATTGCCATTTTATTTTTCTCTGTTTTGTAGACGCGAGCTCTGCCAGTGAGGAAGGACGACGAAGTCCTCATTTGTAGAGGACACAACCACGGCCGAGAAGGAAAGGTTGTGAAGATAAACAGAAAGCGATTTAAAATATACGTGGAAAGAGTAACAAGGGAAAAGACCAACGGAGAGTCCACCTTCATTGGTATCCACCCGAGCAACGTCATCTTGACTAAGCTGAAAATTGACAAAAACCGTAAAAAGATCCTCGACAGAAAGGCGCCAAAGGAGAAAATGTAAGGCGTGCGGTGTGTCCATTTTAAGCCTTGTCCATGCCAGCTGAGCACGAAGGAAGAGCACCAACGAAAATGTGCCACCCGTCTTCAGGAGGTTAGCGGTGGTTTAGCGCAATTCTGCGCTGCTTCGAACCGTTTTGCGGAGTTTTATCCTTTTATTTGCCTTTTTTTTTTCCTAAAAAACTTATGAACGGGTCATGTTATTTTATTTTAAATATTTTGGAATGCAAATTGGAAGGGGGCCACTATTTTCACGAAACCGCCCCCGGAAAAGTGGCCCTGTTCGAAACGGGAAAACAGCACACCGTTGCTACGGAGCTTGCTAGCCAATTTTACGCAACCAAGAATTAGCGAAATGGGGGTTTTTTCCCGTGTGTGCAGCTTACGTAGTTTTGAATTCCCGCTGGCTAGTTCTTTTTTTTTTTTCCTACACATTTGTGGCTAGCTGAAAAAAAAAACCTGTACTGTTCATAAAATTGCAACGGTCGAAATGGGTCACAACTGGGCTGGCAGAAAACTTTCTCCAGTTTTGTGTGTAACGTGCGCCCGATTGGCTGACTGGCAAAGGGGAGTTAAAGCAGGGTTAAACTGCCACAAAGTGAAAGGGGCACAGAGTGAAAAACACACAAAGTGAAAGCAGCACAAAGTGAAAGCAGCACAAAGTGAAAGCAGCACACAGTGAAAGCCGCAAATAGTGAAGCTCCACCAAGGAGACGCATTTCTCTAAATTTTCCAATTTCGCCAAAGGAGGACGCCGCAAAGTCGTCAAGCGCGTTCGAAAAAGAAGCGAGCTGAAATACCGCCCGCACTTCTGCATACCGTTTTGTAAATTTGCGTAGACAGGCACAAAGTCGCTGCTTCAGGAAACTGAAGAACTGCACTGTTGCCATGTTGCCATGTTGCGATCTTCCAAGTGGACAAAATTATAACACAACGCTTTTTTTGTCCAAAAGGGGATGCATACCGTTTGGCAGAGCATGTTCGGCAATTCCTTTTGTATTCCGCGCCAATTCGAGATTTTTTTTTCCCCTTTTTTTGTTCATCCCGCTGCACAACGCCCGTAACCATGGGGGCGAATATATGCGTCTTTCAGCGAAAGGTTCTCCCTCCATTTTGAGAAAGCTGCCATTTGTATGCGTCTTCAAACTGTGCACTCCGTTTAGGGGAGCTCCTTATTATTGTCCCCATTTTTTCCAATTTTCTTCCCCTTCACCCCACCGCAGAAATATGATGAAGAGAAAAAGGAATTAGCCCTTGAGAAGGCCCCCAGAAGGGTCACGCGAAAGGAGCAAATAGTGAACGAAATTACGTGCGAAGGGGTCACGAAATGTTACGGGGAGGAAACAAGCCAGCTTGGAAAAACGAAGGAAGAGGGAGACAAAAGCATATTGTCTGTTCCATCCACTAGCACAAACAGCATCTTTGTTGAGTCTGAAGAAGCCACCACTGACATCTCCTCCTTCACCTCATCCTCCATGATACGGAGTAACATAAAGGCAAACATCATACGCGAGACGTACCTTCTACAAAATAGCTATGGCCAAATATCTGATCTTACCAGGCGCTACAGAAGTAGCAAGAGTTCCCCCCCCTTAGGAGAAGCAAACAAAACTACCTTTAAGAAATCTGCATCCTTTGGTGGTACTGTTCCGCACAGCAATGAAAAGTTTCGAGACCTCTCCGAGTTCATTAGGACCAAAAAGGAAGACGCACATGAGGGAAATTATTTAACGAGGGGAAAAAATTACCCATCAGAAAAGTCCCACTCACAACGGAGCGAGCTCTGTTCTATATGGGGTGATGATGATCCACTTTATGGGGGCGTCTCAACAGGGTGAGCAGAGAAAAAGACGTGCACGATTTTGTTTTCCTTCTTTTTTCCTTCCTCCCTAGGGGAGGGAGCGGTCTCCAAGTGGACATAGGAACGATCTGCCTCAACTCAGCCAGCGCGTATCACCACTCACCACCGCTTATCACCGCAGGAAAGAAGATAAGGCGACGACAAAAGAGAAGGAACCCTTTAGACGGATGACAAACGGGAAGGTACCCCTTAGACGGATGACAGACGAAAGAACCTTGACAGATCAAAGGCGCCGTGAGGATAACTCCTCCTCGGTAAAGCCCAAAAAGTTGGGAAAAAGGGGGAAGTCGCTAAACCTTCCATCATGGGATAACAATGCGGATTACAAAGGAGGGCCAGTTCCTCTGACCAAGTGCAACTCGAGTTATTTCAATAACAGGGGAGTTATAATTTACTCATAAAAAAAGAGAAGAAAGGCATGGTGTCCCCTCTGTTTAAAAAAATTGCTAACCCTTCTACGTGATGCTTCCATGTAGAACTTCAACTATATTAACGTTAGGCTTATTGAGATGGGTCTGAGTTGTACGTGCGGTGGGATGCCATACCCTTTAATAGCACTTTTTTTTTCTCTCTTTTTTCTTCAACTGCCTTCTCAACCTGTTGTGTCTCCATCCGGGGGCCACTCCTCTTTGTCTAAAAGTTTTTTCGGTACTCCTTAACTGCGGATAGGGAATGCATTACGGTGTGGGGGTGCGCCCTTGGAAGTTCCATCATGGAGCTGCCCCCTTGGAAGTCCGATCGTGGTAGCGCTCGCCCGGGGAGGAGGGCCGCCTACGCACGAAGGGACAAAACAAAATGACTTACAAATTTTTTGGCCCATACTGGGCGGCAATGTATTCAGATAACTCCTAACCCCAAGGTAGTACTTATTCATCTTAATTTTTTTATTTTTTTTTTTCTGTTCTTGTGTTAACTGCTGGACGTGCTCGCGGAGGTGCCGTTCGATGGGTTGGTCGTCATTGTCAGACATGTCCTCGCGTAGTAAGAACTGGGAAATGGATTCCATGGAAGTGAAGTCAATCTGGGGGATGCTCACTTTACCTTTCTTTTCTTTCCTCGCTTCTTTCGCTTCCTCCCCACTGCTTGTAATCTCCGCTGGTTTGGAGTCATCTCCTGTGCAGGCGAAGTGGCTCAAAAAGAGATCCTCGCATTTTTTTATCTCCCTATATAAGTCTGCTAGTTCCTTTTGGCTGTGCCCCTTGGGGTCTTCTGGGGCCTTTTGAAATTGGGACGCCTGGTCGAAGAAGGCCTCGCTGAAGGAGGCATCACTTAGGGGGGCATCACTTAGGGGGGCATCACTTAGGGGGGTATCACTTAGAGGGGCGTCTTCCGCTGCATTTTCACCCGACGTGATTATTTCCCGTTCCCCTTCACCATCGCCTAACTGCACACTGGGCTGTCTTTCCCCGTTTTCTTGAATTGTTGATTCGTTTGTTTCCTGTTTTTTTGGAATGTCACTGTTCGCACCGCCTTCCTCGTTCTGGAGAGTGCCTCTGCTGTAAGTGGCGTCGTTGTGTGGATGCGTCACCGCCTTTTCCTTCGCTGCGTCTACCTTCATTTCACCTTGGCTCCCCCCAAGAGGATTTTCCACTGCGCAGCTCTCACTAGCGTCCCTTCCCTCGGCGTCTCCCTCCTCCTCATTTGGCAAAATTGACGTGTCACCTCGATCCGCTTCCTCCGCGTCGTCCAATATTTGGATATTCTCTTCCCCACTTTGCATCAGGTAGAGTGGGGAGGTATATGACGCGGAGTGAGGAAATGTACCACGCCGAGGGAGAACCTGATGGGTAAAAAAAGTCTGTGAAGGTTACACTTCCTTCTCACCGTTCTGAAGAGTCTGGAGTGTGGGGGGGGAACGAAACAAGAGGCGCTCGACTCTCACCCTCGTTATGCCTTCTCCCCGTTGCGGTGAAACTTCGTGAATGTAGGAGGCACTACTCCCGTTAGCGGCGATAAAACTTCGGCCATCTCAATGTGCAATTTGCTGATCTCTTGCATGGAGCATCCTACAGTAGGTGAAGCAGCCCCTAGGAAAGTATGCAACGTGTGCATGTTTTTTTTGTGTCGAATCGATTGCGGCACGACGGGGCCAAGCGGCGCGGCACGCCCCGCTCAGAAAGAGAAATGAACACCCAGGGATGAGCAAACTGTAAACTTTGGCTTCCTTTGTTAATTTAACTTGTTCAGTCCCAATCGGTGTATACTTGTATGAAGGCAAATTTGTGTTTTTTTTTTCTGTTCTTTTGTTCTTTTTTTTTTTTGTTTATTTTTTTTTTTCTCCCCTTTGCTTTTTTTCCCTGCTGGATGAGGGCCCCCCGAGAGAGAATGGCTAATCGCTGAGCGACAGAATGACACAGGGAGTGGCGCTTCGTGATTTCACTTCACGTCACTTCGCGTCACTTCACTCCATTCCAGTTCACTCCATTCCAGTTCACTCCTCTCCAATTCACTCCTCTCCAATTCACTCCATTTTTGTGCCCTCCCCACGGGTTTCCTCATGAGCGAAACTGTCGTATGCGCTAGGGCATCCCGCGGTGGAGCTTTTGCAGTTGACACTACGGGAACCACCACGTGCAAGTAGGGCAATCGGCACTTACGTGGTGGCACCCCCCTGTATGTGCCCGTCCTCACGTGTACCTATCCTCACATGTGCCCATCCTCACATGTATATACTGCTCGGCTGCCGCTCCCCCATCGAGCGACATGACAAAAAAGAAGAGGAACATCCTCCCGTTTGCTCCACCAGAAAATCCCTTTCGTGAAGTGCCAAGGAAGCGATTATGATAAAATTTTGTTTTCCTCTGGCCACACTGCTCCTGTACGCTCTAAAGACAACCCATGGGTATAACGTAATAGAGAACAACACCAATTTTCTGTTTAACACTAAAGATGCGCAGGTGGGGGGACATATTTTTCAGGGGAGGAACTTGAGCAAAGCCGGGGGGGGAGAAGCTGAATGGGTAGAGTTGCCTCGAAGCGGTAGCGCCCTGGATAGTGCCGCAGCGTTTTTGAAGAACAGCTGGGCGGAGCAGGACGGTTTGAGCAGCGGTGTGCAAAGTGGCGATGTGCGACGCGGCGGTGTGTACCATTTCGGAAGTGGCGACCGCGGCGAGGAGAGCCCAACCAGCCAAGCTCCCCAGAAAGGTGCCCATCAGGACGCCCAGCGAAACGGGGGAGGGGGCGATGCAGAGGACGACCGATCCAAACTCTTCAATCTTGCCATGGAGCTCAAAGACGGATCAAACAACAGGAAGAAAAACATAAACAAAAGCATAAGCATATTCGAGCAACTTGTCCTCGGGAAGAAAGACAATATAACCTCATCGTCCTACTATGAACTGGGAAAAATACACTTCATTGGGTACCAGAACTATTTTTTTTCCTACAAGAGGAATTTAAAGCTGAGCATTCACTTCCTGGAGAGAGCCAGTCGAATGAAGAACCCAGCCGCTCTCCACTTTCTAGCTTTCATTTACTTTTTCGAGTTTAACGTGGAGGGGGAGAGTAATACCCACAATGGTGCTGATAAGTCTGAGCAGAAAAAGAGCCACTCACATGGGGAGGAAAAGGACGGGGAAAACCCCCCTGGGAAGAAGAAAAAAACACACATGGGGATGAGGAACGCGAAGAGGAAATACCTCTCCAGGGGAAAGACCAATAGCAGCAGCCTCACACGTAGTGACTCCCCAGCGAGCCACAATCAGACGAGGATAAATCCGTTGGTCAGAACTGCAATGGAGTATGAATTGCAGGCATGCGCACTGGACTACACGCCGTCCATTCTAACGATCGCTTATAGGTACCTGTACGGGATTAACCTCAAAAACAGTTGTGAAAAGGCAAAGGACTACTACAAGAGCGTAGCGGAGAGAGTTATGAATTCAGATTATATCAATGTGCCTCTTTCCGAGATGGATGTGTTGAATGTAGAGAATCTGACGATGCAGAGTGAAATCAATAATATGAAGGATAACGAGGAGGACGTTTTGGAGTTTCTAAACGAACAGATAAAAGGGGGAGACGTTATGGCTATGTATGATTTGGGAAAGAAATATAAAGAAGAGCGTAACTTCAGCAAAGCATTTGAGTATATTAGCGAGGCGTCTAAGAAGAACAACGCGCTGGCGCAGAAGGAGCTAGGAATCATTTATCTTTATGGCTATGGCACGGAGAAGGACGTGAGGAAGAGCATCGAGAGCTTCTCCAAGGTGAGCAAGTGGTGGAGCAGTTGGCGGATTGCTTCGTCTATTGTTTCACTGATGAGTGCATCGGGTGGTGGCTTAACCCCACTCCACCTCCTTACCCGCTTTACACGCTTTACCCGCTTTACCCTCTTCACCGATTTATCGCTTCCCTCCTAGGCCGCCGCCGCAGGAGACGTGGAATCCAAGTGCTACCTCGGCTACATATACTATTTCGTGGACGAGCACAAAGATGTGCAGAAAGCGCTGAACTACCTCGTCGAGGCAGCGAAGCATGACTACGGGGAAGCCTTCTTCTTCCTAGCAGAAATCATCCTGGACGTGTCTATCAGAAAGCACCACATCGGGGACCAAGTCTACCACACCATCTTCAAGTTGTATGAGCACGCGGCCGACCTGGGGTATGTGCAGGCCTACTTCCGCGAAGCCCAGCTATACGAAATAGGGAAGGGGGTGCAGGCATCCTGCCTGAATGCGGCCCTGTCGTACAAATTTGTCGCAGAGAGCACCATGTGGACTAACCAAATTAGGGAGGGTAACCGGGAGGGACGCCGATGTTAGAGGGGGTGCGACGCATACGTTGGAGGGGGTGCCCCCCATATATTGGAGAGGATGCGCCCCATATATTAGAGAGGATTCGCCCCATATATTAGAGAGGATTCGCCCCATATATTAGAGAGGATGCGCCCCATATATTAGAGAGGATGCGCCCCATATATTAGAGAGGATGCGCCCCATATATTAGAGAGGATGCGCATATGTTGGAGGGCCTGCCCATTTTCTCGTTTTCACCTCTACCCCCCGCAGGCATGAACTACTACGTGCAGAAGGACTACGTGAAGGCCTTCTACACATACGCCCTGGCCGCGTACGAAGGATACGAAGTCGCACAGAGTAATTTGATTTATATTTATAGAAGGAACCGCTTTACCAGCTTCATCAAGCCAGAGAAGATCATGCAGATACTGCACCTCATGTATAAGCAGGGCAATTACAAAGCCTTGTACGAAATTGGGAAGATATACCATAAGGAGAATAAGGACAGCGTGTCAGTTAGCTACCACAGGTTAGGGCTAAACAAAGGAGACCTGCGTAACCTTGTCCCTCTGTCTGTATACTACGAGAAGAATATGGATCCGGATAGGTATACAAACTTGCTTCACTGTTGTGGAGCTACCCCGAGGAGGGGTTCTTATCTGGCCCCTCCCACTGTGATTTGTCCTCCCCTACTGTGTCTTTCCCCCATTTCACCGCTCCTTCCCCTACTGCGGCTTGCCCTATTTCACCGCTTCCCCCCCGCAGGGCCCTCAAATACCTCAACTACTTCCTGAAGCAGAGGACGAGGGAGAAACCTTCCAGCACCACTAAAGTGGAGAGAATGAGATCCATCCTTGAAAGCTCCTTATTCTACTTTCGTAAGTTTAAGTTACTTTTTAAAAGTTTCTATTCGTCAAGACAGAAAAAAGGGAGTGGCACGTGAGGCACCGATACCTCCCGCGAGGGAATCCATCAAAACGGAACCTACGCAGGGTAGCAATTTTAAGAATAAAAAAAAGAAAACTGAAAACAAATTTTCCATTGGCGCACATGTGGACAGCCAACTTACGAATATTACGTTGTGCCCCTTGGGATAGCGGCCTTGTGTGGGTTCATTCCCTTGGCTAAACACATTCGCCCCATTTGGACACCACCGCGTTGTGTGTACCAATTGGGTGGAAGCGGGGGGGGGCGTAGTCATTTTTTTCCCCCTTTTTTTTTTTCCCTTCCTTTTCCCCTTCTTTTTTATGAACAACTTTGACGTTTGTATTCTCATTTCGCTTTAAAACTGAACATTCAACGCGGCCAAGATGGCCAACCCGCGGTGCACTTTTTTTCTTCTTTTCCATCCTGGCGGTGACCAGTCACTAAGGCGATCTACCAATCCGCCGATCTCCGCTCCCCCCTACTCGTGGTAGTTCTCCTTGGACGTCTCCATCTCCGAGGGGGCATACACATAACTGTTGCTGGAGTAACTGACGAAGTCGTCATCAACTACGTCTACGCCCGTGGATTCCAACGCGTCCCCGCGCGGCTCCTCCGTCTGCATCGCCTTGCCACCCTCCCCCTGCATCGTCTTCCCTTCCTCGACAGTATCACCCGGGGGGATGAGGTCCCTCTTGATCTTCTTCGAAATGTTTAAGATATCATGGTAGGGGAACTTTATTAGAGAGTAAAAGTTGCTCATTTTTTTCTTGTCATAGTAGTTGTACGGGAATTGCGGGTACTCGTAATGGAACAGCTTTGGGTACTCGTCGAAGTGGATTTGGTCGATTTTGCTCAGCGCGGCGCCATCGCGGTTAAGGTCAGCACGGTTAACGCTGCTAAGGTTGTTAACTCCGCTAATACCTCTAACACTGCTGCCCACGTTGATCCGACCAACCAACCACCTGCATTCAATGTCGCCCCTCAAAATGTCGGCTACCTTTTTACTCTGCAACACTGCATCTGGGATGTGTGTGATGTTGGTCTCTTTCTGCTCCTTGGTTAAGAATTCAGCCCATTCGTAGAGAATGGTCTTCATAGGGCCCTTCTTGAGCACAGTTATTTCTTCATTCTTGAAAATTTGAAACCTTTTCAGGAGCAATTTTTGTATTTCCAGAAAGCGCAGGTTGGCCAGCATGCGGAAGTGCGCCTCCGATCGGAACATCGCTTCGGCGAGGGCGGGCGAGGCGAGCGCCACGTGGTGGAGGAACTCCCTGCCGCGCTATGGTGTATATTATGTGTTAAAGATACCCTCCTACGGGGTGACTGCTGATAACTATGGGTCAATTTTAGGAAACTTTCGCCAATTTGGGGCAATTTTCAGCAACTGTATGACAATTATAAAAATACAGAAAAATAAAACTTCTGCCTGTGATGCGTCACCACCGCGGTGCGACTGAAGCTGTCAGGTGGGACAAATTCTCCTGTTAAGACAAATAACTCTCTATCATTTCGAGAAAGAGCCAGGAGAAGACACCACTCAGGTCTATTCCAAAGACGTTCGGGACGTATCTCTGCGGTGGGGGGGACGGGAAAAAAATGGGTGCATACGAATGGGGCATACAAATGGTGCATACAAATGGTGCATACAAATGGTGCATACAAATGGTGCATTCTGTTTTTTATGACTTGTTCATATTTTTTTTTCCATTTTGCCACTTTCTGTGTGTTTTTTTTTTTTTTTTTTCTCATTTTTGGCTAGTTACATGGAAAAACTGGACGTAGCTATTCGTGTAGGTGAAAATGTACGAAAAGGGGTTGAGGTGGGGATTGATTTGGGGCAGCCACTCTAGCAGGCATCTAATGTAAATTATAAATTTGTATATTCTGCAAAAGGGAAGGAAACGTGGGGGATTTGAACATGGCTTTTTCTCTGAGCAGCGCCAGCTATTACACGTATGTGTATGTCTACATGTATGTATATGTATGTATATATGTAAGTCTACACGTATGCACACATATATGTCCTCGCGGAGGTGCACCCCTCCCTACCTTATGAAATGCAAAGCGGACAACCTCAGAGTGTTTATATTATCCTTAAAATACCTGCGGGGGGAAGCGGGAGGGGAATGATGCTGGGAATGCGCCGCGTGCACAAATGGGAGCACGGAAAAGGGGTGTGTTCAAACGAAGGACATTATATTTTTCATGCGTTACTTGATAACCACGGACAGGGCGGGGTTGCTGATTAGCTGCAACTTGAAGGCATCTATTCTTTTAGAGAAATCCTGTCAGGGGGAGGTGGGCATCGGGGAGTGCCATGAGCACACACAGGGGTAGAAGGGAAGAACACACACGGATTGGAGAAGTATATCGATACGTAGGTTACACCGCCACGTGGGGGAAGTACACATGGGAGAATTACGCACGCGGGATGCACACCTCTGTGGCGTTACCTTGATTTGCTTGCTCACAAAAAAGTTCTTTTTGAAGCTCTTTTGGATTTCCTTAATCTTCTTAATGCTGCTGTTGTGCAGATTTAAGATTTTGTACCGGCTATTTTGTGCGCGAAGAATAAACGCTTTAAACTTTAAAATGTCAGAATTCTTGTTAAGTATATTTGCATTTGCTACGCAGAAGAAAAACAACATCAGCACAAATTTGGTTTTCATTTTTTCCTACGGATCGGTCTGGGTGCCAGCATATATATGTGTCTGTAGAGCGATCGGAAAGAGCGGTGGAACGGACTCAGGTCACAGCTGTCATGTGTGAACATAGGAAGGGAAGTAAATAAATACACATGTGGATGGGTCTGTCATGATGAAGACAATTTGCATATTAGCCAATGATTCTTGTGTATACTTTGGTAGGGTAATAATGAGGAAGACCCCATACTGTTCGTTTCAAATTTCTTTTCCTTTCCCTCGTCTGTATAATGCGCACATGGGTGATAGCGACCGTCCTGTTTGTTCCTTTACGCTTCGCAGTTGGTGTGGCGTATTCCCGCTTCCCCCTTTTTAACGTTCAACTTTTTTTTTTCTTTTTTTTTCCTTTCCTCGAAATGGTGTAATCATTTGATCTGAAAATCGACGCCGCGTTGATTCACCCCGAAAAAAAACAAAAAAGCGGAAAAGCTGGAAAACAAAAAAACAGAAGAGCAGGAAAACAAAAAAACAAAGAAGCAAAAAAAACGCTTCGCAGTTAAGGCGGGATGGCAGTTATGCGCAACGCGATGCGGAAAACACACTCCCGGTTTGCGCCATAACGCTATTTTCAGGGGGGGCGTGAAAAGGCGCAAAACAGGTAATTCGAAGGGGAAAAAAAAAAAAAAGAAAAAATTCCTTTCAAGAGATGAACACAGAGGCAGCACCTCCTCTTAGTTGGGTAACATTCGCACAACGGTTTGCATCCATTTCTGCAGGTACAGCCGCTATGTAGTACATATACGCATAATCACACGCTTCAAACGAATAGGTATATGCATTGGCATGGACATTCCAACGATGATATCGCGAAATGCGCACATCATACACCTTCCCCCCGCTCGGCAGCTCCGAGCACGTGACACAAAAAAAAAAAAAAAAAGAAAAAAAAAAAAACATCCACGCACAACAGCTAGGCATATTTTATGAAATGAAAAAATCGCCCCGCCCTCGTGAGAGAAATGTCAAATTGTTTCAAATCCAAATCGCTTAAAACGATGATGCTGATGTATTTTTCTTTTTTCCTTCGCATGAGCTCAATGTGCTTTTCTTTGTAAAATTTTGCCAGTTGCTTAATGTCATACGTTACATGTGTTGCTAATTTTTTCTTCTTTTTCAGCGTTTTTTTGGTACGCTCATCCGTTGAAGATGTCTCTGTGTGATCTGAATCTTCTCCATACGGGTCTACCTCGGGGGAGTGTTTTTTCTTTTGCACCCGTGTCACTGGGTTGTCCCCCTTAGATAGGTTGTGTCCTCCGTTCCCTTCGTCGTCATGTTTACGTTGCGATACCGCTTTCCGCCTGCGTCCGGTGCAGCTATCTACGCTATCGAGGCACAGCAGCAGCGTGGTGAGCAGCCGCCCGTTGTCGTTGGGTTCTCCCCCTGGGCCGTCCCCATCGCGGGCGTCGTCGTGGGCATGATCCCGGCCACCATCGCGACAACCATCGCAGCCTTTCCCGCCCCGCCGCGCCACCACGTCAATCCCGTCAATCACCAGGAAGACACTTCGGGAGGTCCGCTTCGAAATCCGCTCGCATTTTCGAAAAACCTTTAAGATGTTCTCCTCCGTTTCGCTAAAATACAAACCAAACAGGGTGTTCAAATTTACTGCATGCACGTGCAGGTGGTCTATCTTCTTTAAAAAGGAGAGGAACGATTTTCTGTTTAATTTGTCACAATTGTGTATGAACATTTTTGTGTAGTCTTCCAAATGGTACATACTCCGTAGGTTTGTGTTTTCTTCCTTCAGGAGAAAAAGGATGGACCAGATTTGCTGAAGGAAGGGCGTCTTTTGTTGGCCGGCGAGGTGGGGGCGGTCTCGTGGTGCAAAATGGGGGGCATCCACCACGTCACCAGGCGATGAATGGGTCACCACCTCGCTAATCACTGAATCGGGCACCACATCGCCAGCCGCCGAAGCCGCTGTGCCTCCCTCCTCCACCACGTGAAACACCGCGCCCCGAGAGCTCCGCCCCAAGCGCCATATCAACCGAGACACGAACAGGGCGTACTCCCGAACCAGCAGCTGAGGAGACAAAACAAAGCATAGACTCTTTGATCGTTGAGCGTATTTTATCCTTCTCTGTAGGTGGTCTTTAAAAAACTGAAAATCCCACACCATTTGGCTGCAGTCCAGTAGATGGATCTTCCTCATCTCGCACTGGCCATTTGCAAGGCAGACGTAATACTTCAAATTTGCTTCAAATTTTTCCGAGGCGTATTTCAGTGCGGAGAGTACACGGGTATAATTGTTACGTCCGGTGACCGTCGCGGTGTGAGTTGCCCTCTCATTCGTCTTCCCCTCCTTTGGCTCCCTTTCCCCGCAAAGCAAAGCCACAGCGTAGAGCAAATTGTTTCTACTCCGGATTGTCACGCAGTTGGAGTCACGCTGTATAACCAAGTGGCTCTCCGAAATGAACTTTTTTTTTTTTCGAACATTTAAGGAATGGTCATGGTCACCGTCATCCTTATCATCGTCGCAGTGGTCATCGTTATTGTCATCCTTATCATCATCGCAATGGCCATCCTGTATGAGTAATGCTTTCCCCATCTGGGTAAGGAGAAAGATGATGGGACTTTCCTCCTCGTCATTTTTACCCGTAGCGTGCTTCTCCCCGTGAATAGAGTCATCACCACTGATGATGCTGCTTCCTCTTGGGAACCCACTCCGTTCGTCTACACTCTGAACATACTTGCTGTCCTCTGGGCTCTTCTTCCTAAGGAGAAGCACCAAATGGTGTAACAGATGAGTATTATTTCGTTTCTTCATGTAGTGTTTTCACGGGGGGTACATCGGATTGTGTTTCTCTAGTTTGGGCAAGGGGCTGCAAAATGAAAAATTAAAGAAAAAAAGAAAGAAAAAGGAAAAAAAAGGGAAAAAAAGGAAAAAAAAAGAAAATATATATTCCTCCTTCCATGATAGGTAAAGTGGAAATTATTTTCAACTGAGCCATCCTGGTGCTACTCCCTTTTGGGGGCATTCACTCTTTGGGGTGGGGTTCTTCCTCCGTGTAGCCAAAAACGTTGCCTTTTTTTTTTTTTTTTCATTTTTTTCTCGTCGAATTAGGGCGCCACGCTGCTATTCGTAGCCCCACGTGTCGCAATGTATACATAGGTACATACATATATATGCGTTGGATATATTTATTTTTTCTTTTTTTCTATTTTCTTCACCCCTTTGTATAAAGACCTGTGTGGAGTTCGTCGTCCGCGTTCGAGTTGGCCAATCCGATCATCGCCATTTGGTCAGCCATGTCAGCCGTGTCAGCGGTGTAAAGCGGCGCGGGTTCTGCCCCTCTGCCCCAGGGTGGCATCCCACCTCTAACGCCGCTAACCGCGCTGCACAGTTGACGCGGAAATGCCCGCCCCCGGGGTGGTGAGGAACGTCTGCTTTCGGATAAGCATCGTGGGGGCAGCGAACAGCGGCAAGTCGTCCCTTCACAACAGACTGATGAGGAGACTTAGCGCCAACTACAAACCATCGCTGGTTCATCAGGAGCCAAATTACTCGATTGACACTAATGAAAGTCCATTCCGAGTGGAAAATACAAAATGTGTAATCGCGGACACACTGGGGATGAACGAACAAATGATGAGGAGGATGCAACTGTTAAAGCACAGTAAGTACGAAGGACATGTCCAGTGTAACAACCTCATCAGTCAATATCTTCACGGCATCCGAAGCAGCCACTTGATTTTTTTCTGCGTGAAATGCTCCCAAGTTCGAGAGAGTGACATCTTAGCGTATCAGATTGTGCGGGACATTTTCACGCAGAGCGAAAATCTGATTACTGTGCTGGTGGACGAGAGTATCCTACGGAATGGCGGGGGTGGGGTGGAGGATGACGTGGGAACAAGCCAGGGGAGGTACAATTTTTTACACGCCTTTGAGTACTTCAGCAATGTCGTTTTTTTTCCAAATGGGTTGGTCTGGCAAGACCAAGGAGAGGATTTGGTGGACCTCATACGGAGGAAGGTCAGAGAGGAAGTGAGTCGACAACTGGATGAGGGGGATACCCACGCGGGGGTGGATCATAAGGAAGCCCCCATAGACGAAGACGCTACAGTGGAACACCCCCCAGGGGACCCTACGAATAACTACACAAACGATGAAGTACGCGACCTGGTGGACGAAAGCCTCCGCATCTTCCGGCCCAAGCTCAGCGAAGAAACGAGGAATTATTTTTATAAATATGTGGACCTCAGGAAAAAGGAGAAATCGGATGAGCGGCTGTTTAACGATTTTCTCAGCGAAAGGGTTTTAGGGAAGTCGCTCAAGAGGCTGACGAGGGGGGAGCTGCTCGCGCGGGGGGGGGAAGCGGGGTCAGAAGAGGAAGAAGCGGCCGTCAACACCACTTCCAGCACCCCTGCCAACACCCCTGCCAACACCGCTTCGAACAACGCTGTCCATGGAGGCGCCCCGCTGAGAGACTACTTCGACAAGATGCAGGGCGACTTCGAGCGGAAAAGGACAGTCGCCGCGAAGGTGAAGAACAAGCGAATGAGGCTTTTGCGGGCCATCGTGGGCGGACAGGGGGGGGTCAACCCCTACGAATTGTTGAAGCTCACTGGCGCGGGGGAAGCCACCCCTGTTGGGGAAGTCACTGTTGGGGAAGTCACTGTTGGGGAAGTCGCTGTTGGGGAAGTCACTGATGTTGAAGCTGCTAACCACATTGGAGCCGCTAACCACGTTGAAGCCGCTACCCCTAAGGGAGGTGCCACCCCTGAGGAAGCCCACACCCACCTGCAGGTCTGCTTCCTCGGAGAAAGGAACTCCGGGAAAACGACGCTGATAGAGGCCATCCTGAGAAGGCCCATCGTGCGCGACCAGGACGTGATGGAGCTCTTCGGGAGGAAAAAATACATCAACAAAGACTTGATCATACAACACAAAAATGTGCAAATAACAGTTGCAGACACGTGCAGCTTGACGAAGCAACACAGGTTCAAAGGAGAGGATACCTACCACGATGAGGAGAAACAAGTATTCACCAATGTGGAGAGGAGCGACCTGTGTGTTTACGTAAAGGAAGCCAAAGAAAACACCATAAGCGTAAGTAAGGAGGACAAAAAAATGATGTTTTACCTACTGAGGAAGAAGAAGAATATTATCGTTGTAGTGACTAAAATAGATACTATCTTGACCAAATTTGAGGAGAAAAAGAATGAATTCCTATCGTCTTTCTCCTCTTTCTTCAATGACATCCCTGTGGTGTTCCTAAATCCAAACAATCAAATGCACGTGCAGACATTACTTAACCGGATGGTTCATGTACACAAGATGAGCCACATACGGATCCCCACTTCCACCTTAAATCTCTTTTTAATTAGATTCCTTCAGTTGTTTCCTGTCCCTTGGGTGAGGAAAAAGAAATGTCACTTCAAGTACATCAGGCAAGTCAATACCAATCCAGTTACCTTCCTCGTCTTCACTAACCTGTATCAAAACATCCCGAATAACTATCTGTCTTTTTTTAAAAAAAAACTAAAGGATGAGTTTCATCTGAGAAGTGTTAATATTCAGTTCATATTTCGCACTACTTGCGATAATGCCAACGCCAGGCGGAGTCGGTTCGTGCGTGCCGGGGGGAAGGCCACGTAGAAGTGCAGAAAAGAAGAAAAAAAAAAAAAAGGAGTAACTTAACTACGTAAAGGCATAGCTTTGGGATTTCGCCTGAAGGCTGCTTTTCTTCATGACTCATCGGGGGGGTGTTTCTTTTCTTTTGTTTGCTTTTTTTTTCTTTTTTTTTTTTTTTTCTCCACCCATAAACCACCAACAACCGTTAAAACCAAAACAAAGGGAACGTAAACGTTTCGCCTCCACAAAGGTAGACTTTTTTGAGAAGACGGCTTTCACCTTTCACTCCTCTGCACAGTTTTCGTCCGACGCGCCTGCGCCGCTGTCGTGCCCACTAGGGGGACCTGCTGCGAGTTTCTCCGCGGCGTCTGCGGATGTGCTTTCCTCGCCGTCCGCAGATGTGCCTTTCTCGACGTCCGCAGATGTGCCTTTCTCGACGTCCGCAGATGTGCCTTTCTCGACGTCCGCAG